TGGAAATAGATTTTCTTTTCCATTCCCTTCAGGGCATTTGATTTATTTGTGCTATGTCTTGCTCTGAGTTAGAATACTTTATTATATACCTGGTTTAAAGATATCCTAAATGTCTACCCCGCTTCTATATAAATGTATAAGGACAAAACTCTGTGCTAAAAGAGTTGAGGGCTCTGAGGGTCGGCTCCTTTCATGTCCTCTCTGAGGAACTAGCAAAAGAGGAGACAAGAGAAAGCTTCTAGGTTAACCTGATGTTTATGAATGGCCCCCAGCTGAGTTGAGGTGAAAGTGAAACTGAGAGTCAATAATTACTGTAAGAAGCAAGAAGCAGCAGTGAAATAATCGAATCACAGAAGAGGCATAAAGGGCCAGAAAGTAGGAGATGAAGAGAAAGACTGGGCATCTAGGCTTTTGACTCTTTTAGCATCTAAACCTACATTCTTACTCCATTTCTTTCATCTCGAGAAGGAGAAACATTACTATTTATATGCAGACCTCAGTTCTCCCAGCTGTCTTTAGCTATAATATTTCAGAGGTCCAAGGCTATACAGGTAAATAAGATAGTTGTTTTCAAACTGTCCTCCCCAGTTGCCTCTCCCCACCTCTCAACTTCAGGAAAAACCCACACCACCCCCTACCTTTGATTTGAGATATGCCGACCTAGCACGTCGAAGTCTAATCCACTCCTGAATCCCATGTTCTGTGTGCCTCTGCAAACAGTCAAACAGATGCATCTAGAAAACCATTTTAAGGTAAATTTACAGAATCATCCACTGCTCCCCTGACCTACAACTTCTCAATAAAGAAAAGATCCAAATTTTTGAAGCTCCCAAAGCCCAAAGTATCTTCCTTTTAGAATTGAGAATAAATGTAAACATTTAACGAAGTAGAAAACTTTAGCAAAAACTATGTTTCTTTTTCTTCTCTATTGTAAATATTAGTCTCATTACTAATTTTCAGGTCTTTTGCTGGGAGGGACTTTAAGGAAGCTTTAAATGTCCAGTGTTAGAAGTTTCAGGATAAGGGCTTTACAGGGAAACTTATATTACAAATAGATTTGGTAGGTGACTTAGTTCAGGATGCTATTCAGAACACTATAGACTGGGTGACTTAAGCAATAGAAATTTATTTCTCACAGTTTTGAAGGCTGAGATGTCTAATATCATGGCGCTGGCAGATCTAGTGTCTGGTCTGGGTTCTCTTCCTGGTTTGCGGAAGGCTGTCTTCTTACTGCACCTTCATTTGGCAGAGGAGAGATCATGATCCTCTCTCTCCTGTCTCTTACAAGGCATGAATCCCATTCAGGAAGGGTCCACCCTCATGACCTGATTATCTCACAAAGACTTCACCTCCAAATGCCATCACACTGGGGGTTTAGGCTTCAACATATGAATTAGCGGGGGAATGAAAACACCCAATGCATAGCAGTAGCTAGGGTGGTGGTCATGCAGTATCACAGGGCAAGCACTAGATTTGGAAGTGGTCTCTGTTCTATAAAAGTCGCTAATTCATTGATTGACCTTGAGTTCTTTGTGCCAGTATTATATATGCAACAGAAGAATCTGTTTTATGATGTTGCTTTGAGGGTTAAATAAGATAAAGTATATGAAAATGCTTTTAAAAATATAAAAAGTCACACAAAGTTTTATTGCTAATTTTTAATATACCACCTGCCTCATTAGTGTCCTCTCCCCTCGCCACAACTTTAGCAAGCACCAGTATGCCATTTACCACTGGCTTTGCATAACCTAACCAAAATCTATTAAATCTAATGTACTTCTTCCCCTACTCCATTCTCCTCTACACACCCTTAAACAAATGTGCCTGGAAAAAAAAAATCATAAAGCAAATGTATAGTATTCTCTATTCCTGCTCCTTACAACTTCCCAATTAAAAAAAACCTTAATGCTAACCTATCATGAAAAGTTTGTTTTTATAAATGCAATAAAATATTTTCAATATTATGATTTTAAATGATCTCATCTTTTTTTTTTTTTTTTTTACAGTTTTCCTTTGTTGCCCAGGCTGGAGTGCAGTGGCACCATCCCGGCTCATTGCAACCTCTGCCTCCCAGGTTCAAGCGATTCTCCTGCCTCAGCCTCCCAAGTAGCTAGGATTACAGCAGCCTGCCACCACACCTGGCTAATTTTTGTAGTTTTTAGCGGAGATGGGGTTTCACCATGTTGGCCAGGCTGGTCTCGAACTCCAACCCCAGGTTAGTTGCCCGCCTTGGTCTCCCAAAGTGCTGGGATTACAGGCATGAGCCACCATGCCTTGCCTGATCTCATCTTAATGTTGATGAAATAAAACGAAAATAAATTGAAAAATCAGTTGTGAAAGAAACATACCTCATTTAATATTATTTCCCATACCTAGATATAGGGAGAAAAAAGTTGGGATGAGAATAAAAGCTAAAATTTATCAAACACTTATTATGAGCAAAGCACTCTTAATTATTGCCAGATACAAAGTTAAAAGTATAACTCAGCCAGGGGTGGTGGCTCATGCCTGTAATCCCAGCACTTTGGGAGGCTGAGGTGGGCGGATCACCTGAGGTCAGGAGTTGGAGACCAGTCTGGCCAACATGGTGAAACCCTGTCTCTATTAAAAATACAAAAAAAAATTAGCCGGGTGTGGTGTCGCATGCCTGTAGTCTCAGCTACTTGGGAGGCTGAGGCACGAGAATCTCTTGAACCCAGGACGCAGAGGGTGCAGTGGGCTGAGATTGCGCCACTGCACGCCAGCCTGGGTGACAGGGCGAGACTCTGTTTCAAAA